ACATGGACATGATAGACACGAGTACGACCATAACGAAATAATTATCAGGCAAATCAAAGGTGGATCCAGGTGGCTGAAATAAAAAACCTACAACAACTTCCCTCCATAAACATGATCCAAACAGCTACCTAACTAACGAACCTGAAATATCATAATGTACTAAAGCTAGCCCAGATTTAATTAAATTTCATGAAATGAAATCGTAAAAGCAATCATATTAATTCCAAATTTGATGAACAGTGTTACACAATTACAAATAATTATAATTAAAGCATATAATAAACTCAGGAGACAAAGAACTATCCAGACATTTTTTTATAAAAAAAGACAGAAAAGACAGAATTTTATTTTAAAAAAGCGTTGGCCTGACAAACCTTTATAAGCAATCCTAATCAAATCAGTAAGCTTTGAAACGCCGAACAACCCACTTGGATCTGCCCTCATACACAGTAGTCACAAAACAGTACATAATAATTGAATACCGTTCCAGTGCGGAGCTGGAACGGACTGACCGTTCTGGATCCGACGCCCACTGGTCTCAGTCTCCAGCTTCATCGCACAAGTTCTGAAACAAAAACAAAAAAGCATTAGCTCAAGCCTCAAGTTTTCCCTCCACGATCCAGCCCCCACCATATCCTCACTAACATAACTCACTCACTCAGACTCACTCATCTAATCACTCACTCACCTCAATCATCTCACCTCACTTGCCAGTTCGATCACCAAACGGCCGATCAAGATGGCCGACCTGATCCCCCACCCGGCCCCCACATTGCCGACAATATTACTTTCACGACAGGTGTCCACAACCCCGCTCTGCAGCACGGCACAAACACTTAGTATACTCACCAAATCACATAATGAAGCACCACCAATAACTAACACGACATCCCCTCAGAATTAACTGATAACAGGACAGCACCCAACCCCCTCCTCTGTCCCCTGTCGACTACTGCAGCTCGTTTCCCGCCCAAAGGCCCCCGAGCTTTGTTCGCGAAAGTTCCTGATGATGCTGTACACAAATAAAAGTGAAGTGTAAGACAAATATTCGTTATTTTATAACATGTTGAGCTTCTTATTTTTACCTTTCAAGCATTGAATAGTAGAGGGCAGACAGTCACCTGTAAGCCAGTGTCTATTTCGAGTTTAAAAACATTTAAAACCATGACCTCGGGTTGCCCGGGCAACGTCTTACGTTTGGAAGCAGAAATAGGACGCTACGCGTCTGAGGTGGGGGAGGCGCAGGGAGGGGAGGGGTAGGGGAGGGGTAATCAGCCGACGGCGCGCGGCCGGCCGCCGCAAGCCGCTGTCAATAAGGGCGATTTTTGCCGAGACGCGCAAAGCTTCGAACGGTGCATGGCCTTTATCATGTATTGATAACGAATATACATGCATTATCTACGGCTATATGGCATGATTTACGCATTGAGAGGTCGAGATTGGACGCTTGATTGGTGTATATGGCATAGTATTCGTTTTATGTTCGATCAACATAATGTTTGTTGTGCGTTCCTTGCAAACGAAGATGATACCAGACGTAGTTTCATCAGCGTGCCTATAATTATGGCGGCTGATTACTCTGGACCTGGACGCTTCGGCCGGCGGGTAGAGTGACGGGCTGTCAGAGGAAATTTGAGTGGAAGCTCATGGCAAAATAAGCATGATATGCGTCTCTATCCGGTCCCTTTCCCTTCTTGTCTATCTTTCAGTGTGAGCTATTCAGTATCCATCTCTCACCCTTTCTAACTTTCTGCCTCACCCTCTCCCCTCTGCATAATCCCTGCTCTCTCCCTTATCAGCTCCGGCTTTCTTTTTCCTCTTTCGTAGTGCCTACCTTTCTTCCCTTTTTCCTCCTTACTCCCAGTCTAGTGCAAGGCAAGGCAGAAGCGAACAATAATGACCGCTAGTCATTCTTTCTCCTCCTGGCCCTTCCTTCTCCTGGTGGACTTATTGGATACGGGTTGGGGGGGGGGGGGTCCCTAGTATTGCAGTCCTATTCTCGTTATGCGAGAGGCAGGGGGAGGGGGCAGTGATCGATCCAACCCATAGCAAGTATAAAAATGGGTACCTACCAGGGGCGTCGCCACGGATTTTTGAGTGGGGGGGGGGGTCGGGTTTCTAGTCTTCACCCGATGGGTAGGGGTGTTTTTTTTTTGCCACACTTGCCAGTTTTGTGCGTGCGTATGTGCATGTGTGCGCGTGTAACAAAGCGGCGTGCAGCGCCGCGAAATTTGGCATAACCTATTAGGTAGGTATACCTACCTACATCACTTGCGTAAAAATTATCACTGGTCACTTAAGGTCAGGTCGCTATGTCAAGTTCAGTTATACGGTATACCTCTATCAAACTTTCCCCTCTCGCCATTCTTGTAGCTTTTCTCCCATAACTTCGAAATTTGGTACACTGTATACCTAATGTATGGGGTTATACGTGTCAGCAATTCATGATTCTGAGGATTTACATCTATGATCTGGAGGCAGGTCAAATACGTGACCTAATCATTAGAAAATAATGAGAAATTATAAAAAGCACGAATGCCTCCTGCTTTGAAAAAGTTCGTCAGAAACGCAAAATATCTTTGGAGCCATGACAAATCAGCTCATCATTGCCAGGGACAGGGTGCAACTTATGGCGATATATGACTCGAAAGGTCATTAGTGGAAATGTCCATCGATGGCCACCAGCATTTTTTTTTTCTACAACTTTTGACGAAGACGCAGTAGAGCGATGACAGCACCTGGAAGGTGTTCATAGTTCAGCTCAACAACACGGATCCATTCATATGCAGCAGGAGGTCCTTTTTCGATCTGGACATAACGTTGACCTGAGGTCGTTTTAACGTTAATTCTGAATGGTCAAATTTTAACTCATGTGACGCGTCTCAAAGAGATAAACACAGTGGTGACAAGACAACATATGTAAATACCATACAAACTCACGGAATCTAAAGTTATTGCAAAGCAAATGTTTCGGCAGAATCTGTGCAGTTAGCTGTTTGCCTTCTATGGGCAAAACATAGACCTGAGATGAAATCTGACCCGAAGCTAGCGAAAGAGCGTTGAAAGAGCTATCAAATATGTTTTCTGCTTCACTGTAGCCCTTCTATTGGTGGGCTCCCAGTCGCTAACTTATAACGTACACTAAAGTAACGCTGATGTATGCTTTCGACCCCTTATCGATCTAGAGGTTTGCGGAAAAAAGAGCATGCTGCCCGTGACGAGAGAAAGCCGATGATACCCATTTACAAGGTTTCGGGTCATCTCAGGACTCAGGTCATCGCCAATACGTAGGGAAACTCGGGACCTGCTAGAACTTTGCGAATGTAAGTTGTGATGGTGTTTCGAGGTTCTGATTACGAATGTTATCTTAGTTTTGAACGAAGATGATGACTCCATGCATTTGGGGTAGATCAGGTCAGGTCAGATCGACCAGTACCTTATAGTGGATGACCACCACCGATTGCTTCCTAACATGTTATACATATGTATAAGCAACACAACTACTTCTTAAATGTTCAGATGGGCGCTAAGTTCAAAATCAGCTCCAAAAACTATCCTATACCTAAATTAAAAGCATGTTATGAAAAAGTGAACCAAGGTCATCTTTATTTGAATCAGGGATATCGATTTATTTTTAAGTAGGTGTGTTGCAGACGTTCTTCAACTTGACTCAGTGGACTGTATAACTGTGTTTGTGTTGACGTCTCGCATCATTTGGTGTGGCGACCGGGGCCTGACAGGATATAGGTTGATATGGTAATGAGGCGAAATTGGGAATTTATAATATAAGAAGTGGATGCTATATGAATGGATATAATTTTGGATCAAGGTTTAAGAGCACTCTTTTCAGAGCGACAAAGGAACCCTCTTTACAGAGAGCATGTTAGGACCTAAAAGGGTATGCAGAGCCCTCTTTTCAGAGAGACAAAGGAACCCTCTTTACAGAGAGCATGTTAAGACCTAAAAGGGTATGCAGAGCCCTCTTTTCAGAGAGACAAAGGAACCCTCTTTGCAGAGAGCATGTTAAGACCTAAATATAGAGCCCTCTTTACAGAGAGACAAAGGAACCCTCTTTTCAGAGAGCAAGAGGTATTAGGAAAATAAGGAATCAGATAGGAATGATAAGTAGACCCGGCCACCGTGAAAAAGAAGACTGTGCGAACTGACTGTGTGCCACTCTCCCCGTGCTCTTATCCGCCGCTGCACTCCACTCTTCACCATTCACAAACACAAGATTCTTCCGAACTGGTGAGTATTGCAGATGGCGAATAGGCGATGACAACACAGTATCACTGACAAGAAGAGTTGGCCAGAGAGAGCGAGGCAGTGCTCTCTCGGCGCCGAAAAGTAAAGAAGTGAGAGCGAGGGTTGCTCCCGCCCCGTTTATGTACTGGGTCGGGAGGACACAGATGGCGACGGAAGTGATGAAATAACAAAGAAGCTACACACTACACGGCGTCCTGGTAACCCTACCACGCGGTCGGCACATGTCGGCCTAACGGCTCCGACCCGCCGGGGACACAGTTCCACGTGCGACGCCACGCCAACCCACCCCCTCCCCCCGGGTCAGTCCCTCCGGTAACAGCGCATCCTTTCATACAACTGCAGCTGTAGGACACGGTCGCAGGCCGGAGCGTCCCGTCACCCGATCACTGCCATAAAGTCTCTCGCGGACGGCCCATCTGCCGGCGGCGTGGCAGGGGGATGGGGCGGCGGCGGCGTGGAGCGGCGCCGGCCGGGATCACGAGTCGGCCCGGCCCGGCAGCTACGATCAGAGCCGAAATGAGCCGCAACACCAACTACCTAATGCAGTTTGTCGGCAACATCACTCCCCCCTGTGTTTAGATATGCATTCTAAACACACACACTAAGGAGACGACAAACGTTCCGGCACATCCACTAACTGCATCTCATCACACCGCCGTCGCTGCTGTACGGCGACAGCGGCAGTAGTCGCTCCTTGACTCCTTCTCCCAACTCCTTCTTCTTCCACCTCACGACTACTTGCACTCCTCCTCCAAGAAGCATATTTTGGTAGTCGGTCGCGTGTACAGCTTGCCACTGGCGGTCCGGATCTCGGCTGAGCGGACCCGGCCATCGGCCGCAGGAAACACGCGGCTGACGCGGGCCAGCGGCCACGAGCCCCGTGACATTGCTAGCTCGACCATCATCACGAGATCACCGACCTCCAGGTTGCGTCGCTCTTGATACCACTTGCTTCTCTGTGTGAGCGTCGGTACGTACTCCTTCGTCCATCGTCTCCAGACGTGTTCCGCCACGGCCTGAGATTGCTTCCACCGGCGTCGGCTGCACACGTCCCGCTCTCCCACGAGGCCTGGTGCCAGATGCCTGTGGGCGCCGCTGAGCAGGAAGTGGTTTGGCGTAAGGGCCTCGGGATCGGTCGGCTCGGAGCTGACGTAGGTGAGGGGGCGGCTGTTCACCATATGCTCCACTTCAGCGAGCACCGTCATGAGCACCTCGTCGGTGAGAGTCTGGCGACCCACAACAATCCTCAGGGAGTTCTTCACGGAGCGGACCATCCTCTCCCACACTCCTCCCATGTGACTCGCTGCCGGAGGATTGAAGTGCCAGTCCACCTCAAACGCGCTGAGCTTCTCTGCCAGTTTCTTTTCCATGGCACGGAGCTCCGCTCTCAGTTCACGCTGGCTTCCGACGAAGTTGGTGCCGTTGTCAGAGAAGATGGCTGCTGGCTTTCCCCGTCTGGCGAAGAGGCGCCGCAGCGCCATGATGCAACTGTCTGTGTCCAGGCTGTATACAACTTCCAGATGAATTGCTCTGGTGGCCATGCATGTGGCGATCAGCCCGTATCTCTTTTCAGTTCTGCGAAAACGCTTCACGAACAGAGGCCCGAACATATCTACCCCGGTACTGCTAAAGGGCCGGGTGGCGTCAAACCTTGCTGCGGGCAGACTGGCCATTCGCGGGGGCCTCGGGAGTGCTCTGAGCCGCCGGCAGGTGGGGCACCCCTGCAAGAGTTGTTTCACTGCAGCTCTTCCCCTCACCACCCAGTACTTCTGTCTGGTTTCGTTCAATGTCTGCTCAACGCCTGCATGACCGCAGCTCTCATGCCTTTGCAGGATGACAAGGCGGGTGACTTCGCCTCGAGGAGGAAGTATGACCGGATGCCGGGCATCTTCTGGGATTGGAGCGTTTTCCAATCGTCCGCCGACTCTCATCAGCCCATCATCGCTGCTGTACGGCGACAGCGGCAGCAGTCCGCTCCTTTTAGGCAGCTCATTTCCAAGCGCCAGGCTGCGTGTTTCTTCGGGATAGGCGGCTCTTTGTGCCCGTCTTAGGATGAGGACTTCAGCTTCGTCCAGCTCTTCAGACTTCAGAGGGCCAGTGCGGCGTGTCTCGCCGTTCGACGCACGTGCGGCTGCGTTGTGAGCGAAGCGTTTCATCCACGCCACCACTCGACGATACTTCAGCCAGGATGAAAACTTGCTGGGGTCAGGCTCCAGCTGGTCGTCGTCATGCACTACACTGGCCAGGACGCTCGGCCTCACTTCCTCCATGTCATCCATCAGCGGTGCAGGTGGCGTTTGCGCCGGCCAGTTCTCTTCGTCGTCGCTCAGGAACGCTGGGCCGCTCAGCCACCGGCTCTGGGACGTGAGTTCGGAGGCAGCCAGTCCTCTCGAGCAGTCGTCGGCTGGGTTCATCTTTCCTGGGACGTGTCGCCACGTGCCGCCTGCAGTCAACTCCTTCACTTCAGCTACCCGGTTAGCCACGAAGGTGTGGAACCTCCTTGACTCATTTGAAAGGTACTGCAGGACCACGCTGCTGTCTGACCAGAAGAACATCGCATCGGGCTTGCGCGAGAGCTCCTCCACCACGGTACTGGCGAGTCTGGCTCCCAGCAGAGCGGCCTGTAGCTCTAGCCGTACGATAGACAGCTTTTTCAGGGGCGCCACCCTGTTCTTGGCTATCAGGAACCTGCACTGGTGCATGCCGCTGGTTGTAGTTGACCTCATGAAGATGACGGCTCCGAAGGCTGCTTCTGATGCATCGCAAAAGACGTGGAGCTGTTGACATTTCACGTCCTCCTCCGGTCTGATGCACCTTGGGATGCTGATGTTCTGCAGGCATTCGGAGTCGCGGAGCCAGTCGCGCCACTCTTCCATCTCTGGTTCAGGCAGGGTGTCGTCCCATGCCAAATGGTGGGACCACAGACGCTGCATCATGAGTCTGGCCTTTACCGTGAACGGTGAAGCTATCCCCAGCGGATCGAATACAGAGGCTGTTCGGCTCAGGACTCCCCGCTTCGTCAGCGGTTCATCGGATTCCCGGAGACGAAACCCCAGGGTGTCTTGGTTCTCGTTCCAGACGACTCCTAGAGCCTTCTCAGCTGTAGCCGTCGGCGCACCCAGGCAGAGGTTACCGTCCGGATTGGCCAGCTCATTGGTTGAAGTGCCTTCCAGAACTTCGCGTCTGTTGCTCCTCCATTTAGTCAACTTGAATCCTCCTTCAGCGAGGGCTCGGGTGGCCTCTTGCTTCACATGCTTGGCGGTGTTCACATCCACGTCAGACAGCAAGAAGTCGTCCATGTAGAAGCTTCGTTGGATCTGCTCGGGTTCTCTGGGAGGCGCTGTCCCTTCTTCATTCCAGTGATCTTGGAGGGCTCTTCTGAGGACATAGTTGGCAATGGCTGGTGACGATCGAGCTCCGAAGATCAGTACCTGCATTTGGTACATATCCGGTGGCCGGTTGCTGTCCATATCTCGCCACAGGAAGCTCAGGGCGGGCTGGTCGTCTTCGTTGATCATTATTTGATGGTACATCTGCGTGATGTCTGCTGCGACTGCCACAGGGCCCTCCCGGAAGCGGAGGAGGACACCTGGCAAGCTTTGCAGCAGGTCAGGGCCGGTTAGCAGCTTCCCATTCAGGGAGGTTCCGCGGTAAGCCGCAGCGGCGTCGAAGACGACCCGTACCTTTCCTGGTTTATTGGGATTGGTGACAGCGTGGTGAGGCAGGAGCCACCGCCTTTTGGTAGGAGCCGAAGCCTCTTCAACCGTGAGCTTTCTGGCATGTCCTGCGGCGATGTAGGCTTCGATCGTGGCCCTGTATTTGACGGCTATGTCCGGCTGCTTCTCCAGCTTTCTCTCTGTGGCTTGAAGTCGCTTCATGGCCAGTACTTTGTTGTTTGGAAAACTGGCATCGCTCTCCCTCCACAGCAGGCCCGTCTTGTATCGTCCTTCGTCTTTGGTTGTATTCTCTTCCAGCATCTTGAAAGCCCTTTCATCCTCCCTTGATCGGGGAGCTGTCGCGCGGTATCTAGTCCCGAAAGACTCTGTAGACCACCACTCACTAACAGCTGCAGACAACTCGTCCTCCGGCTCCGTCAGTAGCAGCTTCGTGGACATAACTTGGCGCAAGCTGCTGGGAACAATGGCCGAGACTGATCCTGTCAGTGCCCACCCGAGGTCGGTCTTCACGGCTACTGGTTGATTGGGGCGTCCCACACGCGTCTCTCTTTGCAGGACTGCTTCCAAGACGTTGGCTCCGATAAGCAGTTCCACCTGCCCCCCGTCGTACTGTGGGAACTCAAGTCCGCGAAGATGTTCGCATCCTTTGAGCTGACTTCTTGCTACCACAGGGGCAGTCACGTTGAGAGCTGGGACGGACCACACTTCAGGGATTTTGATGTCATTCTTCTTTCCATCAGGGTCCAATGCGCTTATGGTCAATGAGACGCGCTGCGAGGACTTCTGAGCGCCACTTCCTTCCACGTTTTGAATTCGAAGTTGGCGACGGTGCCCAGCGATCCCCAGGTCGCGTAGGACGTCTTCACTGCAGAGGGATGTTTGCGCCCCGGTATCGAGCAGCGCAAGAACCTCTTTCGAGCCTCTGATGCCATGGACTTGGACCCGAACTACCTGAAGCAAGGTGTCTGTCTCTTCGTTCAGTGACGCCGCTACGAACGGTGCGCTGCTACTGCCTTCTTCCTTGTGAGGCTTGTCGGCTACCGCTTGTCCTTTGTTGTCATGAAGCAGCGGATGATGCTTGAACTTGCAGCCCTCGATACCGCACCTCCTGGCCATCCTGCACTTCCGGCTCCAGTGTCCTTTGCCAAGACACGAAAAGCACAGCCCTTCGGCGCTCACGATATCCAGTTTGGCTTCAGTAGTTTTGGCCTTGAACGTCGGGCAGTTTGGGAGCTTGTGCATGCCCTCGCACATCACACATGCCCTTCGTGATTCTGGGTCTGCCGAAGGAGTGGCGCCTGTCGCGAATGCCGACTTTCTTGCCGTCCCTCCGTCTCTGGACTTGGCTGATCCTTTTCTGTCGTTCGTCACAGACCGGCTGGCAGAGTGGCTAAGGACATCGACTTCTGTCTTCAACCATGAGCTGAACGCCTCCAGGGTGGGTCGCACTGGTCGGAGCCTATGCACTTCTCGGCCCCATTCTCGACCAAGCTCGACTGGTAGCTTCTCCACCACTCTTCTCAGGTTTTCGCTGCTCGCTAGGTCGCTTGAGTAGCCCAGATTGCGAAGAACTGTCACCGTGTTGTGGACGACTGAGTAGAATTGCTCCATGGCTGGGAGGTCCATGAGAGATGGCGGGGTGGAGGTGAAGATCTTTCGCAGATGGGCCTGTATGATGTCTTCCTCTCTGCCGAAGCGTTCCTGCAAGGTCTTGAGAGCCTCCTGGTAGAGTTCCCCGTTGAAGAGCATGCCGTTGATGGCTTGGGCAGCTGGTCCTTCTACCGCGTTCTGAAGGTGTGCCATACGCTCGGAGTCTGACAACGACGGCTGATTGTGCACCAAAGCTTTAAACAGCCCAATCCAGCGTGGCCACTCTTGAGCGCTTCCTCGGAACGTCGGCAGGGTCAGACGTGGGATGCTCTTCACAAACGCCGATTGTTGATGAAACAAAGGCTGTTGCTCAGAGCGCACCGCTGTCACCCAGTTAGCGGGATGCTGTTCGTTCTTGCTGCTCGGCAGCTCGGCGTTGTTTGCGGCTGTCTGCTGCTCAGGTTGCAGTGTTCGGCGCTCTTCTTGTGGCGGTAGTCTACGCTGAGGCAGGTCGACCGTTACTGGACCATCCGCCACATTGCACTCCCTGGGAACCAGAGCGACGTTCTCGCCATCGAAGTCGTGCCGTCTCTCCCATTCGAGATCGCTCTCAGCCGCCTTGCATAGACGTGCCTTCACAAGCGCTCGTTCAACCTCTTCCTGCATAGCCTTCTCCTCCAGCATGTCCTCTTGCTTCCTACTCTGCCTTTCTCGTGCTTTTCTCAGCGTGTCTTCTTGCTCCTTCAGCATGTCCTCTTGCTCTTCCTTCTGCCTTTCTCGTTCCTTTCGTGCCCTGAGATGCTTCAGCTCGAGGGCCTTCATCTCTGCAGTTATTTCAGCCTCCCTTGCCACTGTTGAGGCCTTTGAGCATTTTGAAGCCCGGGACCCACTGACCTTACTTCCGTCTCGCCGTGGAGCGAGCGACATCGGCTTCCCCTCTGTCTCGGACGCTGAGCAGCCTGAGGACTTCAACTTGATGGCCTCTTTAATCGCCTTGATTGCTGAGGCGTGCCGTGCCGTCAACCGGGCGGCATACTCTTCCGCCTCTTCTAGCTCACCCACTTCCTGTACCTTTTCAACATAATCACCATTTATCTCCAGGAAGCCTTCCAGGGCCGTGTTCAGGGACTCAAGCCGCTTCCTAAGTTCTTCTTCACTTGCACAGCGATCGATTTGTATCTCAGCCGTGTTACAGGCACGGGTGAGTAGGGCGGCCTTGCGACCACGCTGCAGCTTCAGGGTCTTCAGTTCACCGGTGGCTGCTACTTCTTTCACTCCGCCATCGACTCTGTTCTGCGGCATCGCCATCCCGTTGCTTTCCTCTGTTGAGTCTTGAGGCGTCAGGGCTCCCAACTCTCCAGCAGCACGTCCATTCTCTGCTCCAGCGCCGTCGCCGCTCCGTAGCATCATCTCTCTGTCGTCTCCCTCCTTTGAATCTTCCATTAGCCTTCACCTAGATCCTGCGGGGGGCGAGTTGATGCCACTTGACGAACACTGGCGAGGGTTGCTACTGCGGGCTGTGCCTCTGGGCCTCTTCCTCTGACTTCTCACCTCTGGCCGGGATCATCCGGCCCGGAGGACCAGAAAATGTTGCAGACGTTCTTCAACTTGACTCAGTGGACTGTATAACTGTGTGTGTGTTGACGTCTCGCATCATTTGGTGTGGCGACCGGGGCCTGACAGGATATAGGTTGATATGGTAATGAGGCGAAATTGGGAATTTATAATATAAGAAGTGGATGCTATATGAATGGATATAATTTTGGATCAAGGTTTAAGAGCACTCTTTTCAGAGCGACAAAGGAACCCTCTTTACAGAGAGCATGTTAGGACCTAAAAGGGTATGCAGAGCCCTCTTTTCAGAGAGACAAAGGAACCCTCTTTACAGAGAGCATGTTAAGACCTAAAAGGGTATGCAGAGCCCTCTTTTCAGAGAGACAAAGGAACCCTCTTTGCAGAGAGCATGTTAAGACCTAAATATAGAGCCCTCTTTACAGAGAGACAAAGGAACCCTCTTTTCAGAGAGCAAGAGGTATTAGGAAAATAAGGAATCAGATAGGAATGATAAGTAGACCCGGCCACCGTGAAAAAGAAGACTGTGCGAACTGACTGTGTGCCACTCTCCCCGTGCTCTTATCCGCCGCTGCACTCCACTCTTCACCATTCACAAACACAAGATTCTTCCGAACTGGTGAGTATTGCAGATGGCGAATAGGCGATGACAACACAGTATCACTGACAAGAAGAGTTGGCCAGAGAGAGCGAGGCAGTGCTCTCTCGGCGCCGAAAAGTAAAGAAGTGAGAGCGAGGGTTGCTCCCGCCCCGTTTATGTACTGGGTCGGGAGGACACAGATGGCGACGGAAGTGATGAAATAACAAAGAAGCTACACACTACACGGCGTCCTGGTAACCCTACCACGCGGTCGGCACATGTCGGCCTAACGGCTCCGACCCGCCGGGGACACAGTTCCACGTGCGACGCCACGCCAACCCACCCCCTCCCCCCGGGTCAGTCCCTCCGGTAACAGCGCATCCTTTCATACAACTGCAGCTGTAGGACACGGTCGCAGGCCGGAGCGTCCCGTCACCCGATCACTGCCATAAAGTCTCTCGCGGACGGCCCATCTGCCGGCGGCGTGGCAGGGGGATGGGGCGGCGGCGGCGTGGAGCGGCGCCGGCCGGGATCACGAGTCGGCCCGGCCCGGCAGCTACGATCAGAGCCGAAATGAGCCGCAACACCAACTACCTAATGCAGTTTGTCGGCAACAAGGTGATTAACACGAGCGCACCGGAAGTTTCGTTGCAATCGGGTCCTTTTGCGCGACTTCTTTGCGAAAGCCCGAGACGGTTTCATCTGACTCCCTTTCCCCTACATGTGCACTGTACAGCTAGTTGTGACGATAGCCATGGGGCTGAGGCTAGTTTGTAGTTGTAGTTAGGTACTGATCCGACGAATCGACTGCGACCATTTTTTTAACGATCAGACGAACGCTCGGGGCAGTTTTGGCGCGTCCAATCCTTTGAGGGATAAAAAGGTACTAGAATGGTGGCTACTTAAAAATATTGTTGTGCTGGTGTTCCCCGCCCACAGCTAATTGAACTTTAGGTAAGGCTAATTGGCTTTAGGGGGCTCTTGAAGCGATTCTGAATCTGATGTATTTGTTGGTGTTGCTGACGCCTGCTTCACTGACATAAAAGCTAAAAAAGCATACTCAGCATCGCAAAAAGTGGGGGGGGGGGGGGGGTCGACACCCCCGGTTTTCAAGAGTGGGGGGGTCACGACCCCCCGACCCCCCCGTCGGCGACGCCCCTGGTACCTACTACCTACACAGAGCAATTCCACAGAACAAGGTGCATTGACCCTACAGCTTCATAATGCATGCAATTCACATGCAATCATGTTTCGATAATTTGACGGACAAACCGAGAGGTAGAATAGGACAGCATTTTTGCTTCCTGATCGTGGCTCCCACGGGCCACGACCAACACAGAAATGCAGTAATTGCGTTTCCATGTCGAAGCTTTTCAGTGGTCTGAGATGGAACTCGTTTAGTATTCTACTGTGGCATACCCTCTGCTTACCGTAAATGGACGGTACGGCCCTCAGGAGGGCACGTTTCTGAGGTACAGAAAGATAAGGAATTACCAGGGCTGAAACTGCTAGATCCATGGCATAAAATAGGTACCTCGCGGGGAAGGTGCCTGTACTGATGCTATTGGTGATCAATCAGTTGTTAGTAACTGGCAAGTGGCAACGTCGAACTCATTCCAAGCTCTCTCTCTCTCTCTCTCTCTCTCTCTCTCTCTCCTCTCTCTCTCTCTCTCTCTCTCTCTCTCTCTCTCTCTCTCTCTCTCTCTCTCTCTCTCTCTCTCTCTTTCTTCCATCTCCCTTTCCCTATCCATCGCCCCCTCTCCTCTTTAAACTCTTTTCTGATTATCCTTGTCTGTCCCTTTCCTCTCGCTCCCTCTCCTTTCCCTCTCCCTCTAGCTTCTCCCTCTCCCTCTTCCCCGATAGATATTTTCCTCTCCCTTTCCGCCTTCCTCTTATCCTTCTCTTTCTCTTTCATCGCTCCCCTCCCTCTCCTCCGTCTTCCTCCTATCCCCTCCCTTCCTCTTCTCACGCCCTCACAACGCCACCTTCACGCCTTCCAGACATGTAGTTCGGAAGGAGCGATGCAGGCACATTCCAGACTCGCGGCCAGGCATGCAAATGTCGCCGCCGAACACGCAGTGCTGCGCCAGCTGAGGTAAACACAGAGAGGCACGTCCGATGGGGTGAGAGAGAGAGAGAGAGAGAGAGAGAGAGAGAGAGAGAGAGAGAGAGAGAGAGAGAGAGAGAGGGAGAAAGAGAGAGAGAGATAGAGAGAAAGAGAGAGAGAAAAAAGAGAGAGAGAGAGAGAGAGAGAGAGAGAGAGAGAGAGAGAGAGAGAGAGAGAGAGAGAGAGAGAGAGAGAGAGAGAGAGAGAGAGAGAGAGAGAGAGAGAGAGAGAGAGAGAGAGAGAGAGAGAGAGAGAGAGAGAGAGAGAGAGAGAGAGCACAGCGAGACTGAGGCTCGTCAGGAACCGAGGCCTGTTTTATGAAAATTAATGCTTCCCATTTCGGGACGTAGGCTCCTCTCGTTGGGACGTATGTAGTGTCTGTTGATTTTGGTGCTCTGCGTCCCAGACCCGACCTGCCCTCTGCCTTGAGCCATGTCCTGTGCCCTGCCTTGTGCCCTGCCCTGTGCCACTGTCCTGTGCTCTGTCCTGTGCTCTGCCCTCTGTCCCGTCCTGTGCCCTGCCCTGTGCCATGCCTTGTGCCGGGGAGCATTCATTCTGGCCAGGGTTCACAATGTCCAGGGTACGTTATGCCCAGTGTCGAAATGGTCAGTGCCTTAAATGGGCCAGAGTTCATAATGTCCAGGGATTGCATGGTCCAAATTGCGGCCAACTGGCTGCAGATAGGATATATTCAAAGAGGCCAGGGTTCATAATGTCCAGGGCACGATGTGTCTAGTGTTCGAAATGGCCAGGGTTCATAATGTCCAGGGCACGATGTGTCCTCTCTCTCTCTCTCTCTCTCTCTCTCTCTCTCTCTCTCTCTCTCTCTCTCTCTCTCTCTCTCTCTCTCTCTCTCTCTCTCTCTCTCTCTCTCTCTCTCTCTCTCTCTCTCTCTCTCTCTCTCTCTCTCTCTCTCTCTCTCTCTCTCTCTCTCTCTCCCATCCCCACCGCTTTGATTCGGTGTAACCCGGACACACATCAAACATCTGTGACCGGTTTCCAAAGGTCACAGAGGTCACTGGGTCGCTCGACAGCGGTAACTGGTGCATCAGCAGATGGTAGGAACCTCCCTCCCTCTCCCCTCTTCCTCCTCCCACTCTCGGGCGCTCTTTCCCGCTTAGCTCTCCTGCTGTTGACTACAGTCAACACACTGCTAACATGCAGCGCACGTTTCATAGTACCTCCATTAAAATGTCATCGGTGATCGTAAATGTGAAGCTGTTTAGTGTTATGATGGGCATCACTAGGATGACCAATAGGTTTTGTTGTAAAGATGTCACAAAAAAGTTACCGAACGAGACTGAACTTTGAGCTGAATAATAAATCACTAAAATGTTGACTATCGAAGGCGGTCATGAGTTTTTGAAAGACGACATGCCAGATGTAACGAACAATACCTACCCAGTCGAGTACCCACCTACATGTTTTCTCTTTTTTTTTTGCAATTCTAACTTCAAATATTGTATTCTGCTGTGCAAGTTTCGGTACTGCTCCTCATTCCTTGGCTTCTTGCCGTAGGTATATTTCCGATCCGGAAATGAAATTCATTCATTTGCGCTGTCTCATTACTATAGCAATTATCTACATAAATTTCCTTCCCCTCAATCAAAGTAACATGACGCATATCGGGCTCAGTCTATGTAACTGGTAACCTGTCACGCTCGTTGTCAACCGTATCTTTTTATCGAAATCGAAAACTAACTAATACAAAAATGAATGCTGAGATTCCCGTTTCCGGTTCGTACCTTAATTCCTAGCCTACGGACTACGGAGTCCAGGGTGGAGCTTATTACATTGGATGAAGGTGACCGTCCAGCCCAGAATAGGAGGCTTGAGGTGTGGGGAAAAAGGATTCGACTATCCTGAGGATGGAAACGGTGGAACGGAGGATATATGCGATCGCTGCGTCACCTATAGCTTACGTGACTACGTCCCTCTAACAGCGATAGCACTACTTCTGATCCTCCTCCCTAGATGTCTCTGCCCTCACCTGCCTCACCCTGAATACCTGTGACGCCACCGTATGACGTCACCGCTAATCCCCGCCCACTGGGGCGCACCTGGGAAGCGGCCTGCCGACTTCGACAGTGGTCGCTGCGAGTGAACGTCGTGGGTGCTGTGCTGTCGAGTGAGCTCTGTGTGTGACCGTGATACTCCTGTGAACTAACGCGAATTTACCAAACC